GACTTCGATCCGACGACGACGACGACGAGGCCAGAGGAGAGTGGATGATAGGGGAGGAGGACGAGGAGGAGGAGGAGGCGGAGGAGGAGTAGGACGACCAGTATGAACCCAAGACGCACCAACGACGTTGCAATAAACCCGCCCTCCAAGTTCCTCTTCATACATAGGTTTCTACAAGAATGTATCTTCATTGCGGGAAGTGCCCCATTGGAAGACAGCCGATTGAGAATCCTAGATCGTGCCAAAACACCGCTCCTGGAACCTCAAGCCCGCAAACGAATGTGCGCGGCGCTGAGGCGAGAGGCGCATGTTGAAAACCACCCGCCCTCCATCCTTGAAATGACTGCGAACGTTGAAGGCGAAAGTGCGCGGCGCTAAAGCGAGAGGCATATTTTGAAAACCACCCGCCCTCCATTATTTAAGCTGTTGCAGACGTCAAGCTTCAGGATCATAAGTGGTGAGGAAGTCTCAGGCGAAACGCCCGGCCCAACCCACCGACACGTCTGGGCTTGCAACATGGAGAAGTGCTTTACAAGGAGAATGGGTGGAGGAGGAGGAGGAAAAGGGGGAGGAGGAGGAGGAGGAGGAGGAGGAGGAGGAGGAGGAGGAGGAGGAGGAGGAGGAGGAGGAGGAGGAGGAGGGGGGGCGAGCAAAGAGGAGGGTACTGAGGGTACTGACAAAACGGGCACGTCATGGTGCCCCTCGCCCCACGGCGCAATTAGAGCTCAATCGTTGTCGATAAGCTCGGGTGCCTCCTTGTGGGACCTCTGGCAGGACCTCTCCCACTGCACAAGATCATCAGGCGAGGCGAAACCATGCAACTTGGCGACTGAGACGGCCTTAGGGCCCCGAAAGCGAAGGAGGCGAGAACTACCTCCCGCACCAGAAACTCTGGAATCAGGTCCCATGTGGCTGCCAGCCGATACCTGACCCCCTACAGACTCGCTGCCTAGGCTCCCCGCAGCAACAGCAGCAGCAGAGCCCCCACCAGCGTCCAGCAGAGGACCCCGAACAGCTTTCATCGCAAGGGTCGGTCCAAAGGCAGGGCCCACCCTGGCTTTGCCATGAGCGTGCCCTGGGAACAACGCCCGCTTCAGCTTAGACCGCTGGGTCTTGAGGCCAGGATGTTTGGAGCCCTTACACTCCTCTCTGAAACCGCGCGCCGACGTGTGCGCAGAGGTCCCACAAACCTTGCAGAACAAAAGGTCTGTCAAGTCCTGGCCTTGGTCGGTGACAAAGGCTTGCACCAGCGAGTGGCCTCTGACAACCCAGGGGACTCCAGAGGCAGAGACAAAGGAATCATCTACCTCACATGGTTCAGCATAGCCAGTCACGGTGGGCGGAGGATGGAGGCTCGGAGCGGGGCTAGGAGATTCGACCCCCTCAGCCAAGGACCAATCCCCGAAAGGCGCCACACCTTCTTCCAAACAGGCCTGAATCAGACCAGGGGGTAAATCAGCACCCGAAACTATGTCCGCAGTACCTACAAGATCCTGCGAGTCTAGTTGCTCCAGCTCTCCAAAAACTTCTTGGCATCTGCCCTGCCACTTAACAATGTCCGAGGCAATCCTGTCACGCCCAGAGACAAAATCTAGGTGATCCTGAGAAACGTTCCAGAGGCGGGCCCCTCTCTTGGCCAACTTATCAGCGAGCGAGCTACCTTTTTTATCCGCCATTCCTCATGATCTGAGGTGGCGGCACCTAGGCTCCTGTGAGCCTCAACTTTACAGGGGCCAGCCTGCCGATGCCGCTCCACCAATCACCCCACACGCGACGACGAGGGCTGGGAGCCGAGGGGGCCATGCTGGAATCTGTCGCACAGCCACGCGTGCCTGCACACTCCGCGTGGGCTTCCAGCGGGCGGTCGGCTCACCAGTCGCCGAATTGAGAGAGCACCCTTCGATCCCCATGTCCTCCCCGCCCCGAGCCGCCCGTCCCGGAGCCGCGCGGAGCGGCGCCGCGCCGTGCACGGCGCCGATCAAGCTGCCAGCCGGGTCGATCTGAGCAACCGACCATCTTGCACGACTGAAGCCCTGAAGGTGGGAATGGAGCGCCGAGCCGCCCACGGAGACGGCACCCGAAGATTTCCACCCAGGGGAAAGCACTGGCAGGCCTGAGCTGATCCTCCTGAGGAACCTCCCTGCATGGGGAAGCAGAGAGGCGGTGAGGGGAAGAGGCGCCTGGCCATGAGCTCACCAGCTTCCTCCCCAATCTGCTTCACATACTGAGCGGCCTGCATGACATGCCGCGGGCACTCCTCACGCCTGACCTGGAGACACCTGGGGCAATCGTAAAAGCGATGCCACATCAGACTGAGCCTCACCCCTAGAGTGCAACCGAGCTTGAGGCTCGAGGCCAATGGGATCCACCGACCAGGCTCCGAATGGCAGCAGCACGATGCTGCGACCAGCTGTCATCAAAGTCGTGATTGCTGAGACGGGCGAGGGGGGGCAATTGAGGGGAGAGACCCAGAGCGCTTGGAGTCTCTCCATCGCCATGATGTCAGAAGCCTGGAGCGCCAGAGGCCTGACAGGATCAACAAAGAAAGCATGAGAGAAGTCAGCAAGTTTGATCCCCCCCCCCCTCCCCCCCCCCAAGCCCGGGTCGCCAGAGCACATCGGCAGAGGGCAAGGCGCAGCCGATCCTGGCGAGAGACAGGACAGCAGCCTGAGACGGGCCGACGACTTGAGACCAAGGCCGATCTTTTTCCAGCAGACGATGTGCTTCCTGCAGGCAGGCCTGCAGCGGACCAAGGCCCGGCAAGACCGACTGTACACGCAGTGCTCACTGCTTGATCACGTCACAGACCACGACAGCCCAGGGATCTCCGGTGGCCCCTCTGGGGGTGACACGCAACCTGAGAGCAACCGAGGTGCTTGGAGGGACACGACCCTCCCCTCTGAGAGTGGCTAGCTTGAGAGCAGCAAGCTTAATGTCAGCAATGCCAGTGACGGCCGCCCCCCACACCGCCGTCGCCGCAGGAGAGCCCCCCCTGATAGTGCCGACACTTGCCCCCGCTTTCCTCAAGGCAAAAACACGCGGTGATACCGATGCTGCTATGGCCAGCCGTTTGTCTTGCTCCATGACAGTACGAGCAGCACCATTGTTGACATCTGCGCCAAGAACCCTGCCGCTGCTGAGCCTTTGCTCAGAGCTGAGATCCCACCTCTGGTTGGGGTCATCATCTAGGTCCACCGTGCCAGTCATGTAACCAGTCTTGCCCCAGTTAACTACTAGCTGTCGATGCTGCAGCGCGGCCACTAGATCCGACATGGCCTGAGGGAACTGCTCAAGCACATGTAGACGACCTCCACTGGCCTGCAAGGGGAAGTCATCTACCAAATTCTGAAACCTGACAGCCAGATACTTCCGCTGGAGAGAAACAATCACGGCGTGGACCAAAAGCTTGGCCAGAGCTAGCGCGCAGCTGCACCCAGCCGCGACGGCGCCATTAGCTCTGACTGCGTCTGAGACGGCAGTCTTCCACCGAGCACGCCTGGGCCACGGGCTGCCGGAGACGGGGCCAGATTCTTCCCCTAACCGAGGCCAGAACAATCGGCCGAACTCCCGAGGTAGGGGCCGGTTTGCCCAAAAAGAAAATCAAAAGGGTCCAGAGCTCTAAATATTCTGGACCCTGCTCCCAACGCATTAAAATATAATATACAGGAGCGCTTGCTTGTAACTATCGGGGGGCCACAACGCCCGACGCGGATGCAAGTGATCCCATCCTAGCCCACACGAGCCAGAGTAGGACGACAAGATTTCATTAAGCTGCGCGATGGTGACCCTCGGAAGCGACGCCCAGGGACCCAGACCACCAGGAACAAGGAGGCCCCGAGACGGAACCGAGGCCTCCGAAGGCCTGGATGGGGACCACCCCAGGACCCCAGTCCCCAGGAGGAACTTCACCATCACGCTCGGGAGCGTTCCACAACGGCCCCCACTGTTCAAGCAGACGATCGACCGCATGCTGACCTTCAACAGGGAGCGACGGCAAGACGTCCGCGGCTTTCGTGTAGATCTGAGTCTCAGGCAGAGGCTCTCGAACATAACAATAGGCAGCCCCCCCCCCCTTGATCTTCGGCCGCAGCTTTGGCCCGGGCCTCCCAGGCCGACGCGCCGGCGGCTCTTTCTTTGCTCTGGAGGCGAGAGAGGCGACCCTTCAAGCCCGGGAGGGACCCCAGAGCCCCGCCCCCACCATCAGTTAAGAGTTGCACTAATAGATCATTCCTGGAATAGAAGGATTGCAAAAAAAAACGATTGCAAAAAAAAACCCTGGATTGCAAAAAAAAAAAAAAAAAAAAAAACAAAAAAAAAAAAAACCAAGGATTGCAAAAAAAATCCTTCGTTCCACTGCCCCAGGTCGGAGTCCCGAGGCCAGTCTGGCAGAGCAGCACGCAGCAACTGTGAGGGCCTGCCTACGCTGGGCAGCCAGAGCCTGGAAACCTTTCGCCCGGGACTCCGAGCCGATAGCATGCAGGCGCATGCAGGCCGAGCAGAAGGAAGCACTCCTCCTCCTCCTCCTCCTCCTCCTCCTCCTCCTCCTCCTCCTCCTCCTCCTCCTCCTCCTCCTCCTCCTCCTCCTCCTCCTCCTCCTCCTCCTCTGGGGACCTAGCCCACTTCCTTCCGTCAACCGAAGAGACTCGCCTGAGATCGCTCTGCCAGGCGCAATCGACTGCCAAATGCGGAGCTCGAAGACCGTCAGCTCGCCCCGAGTAGGCCGTGGATCACCGAGTGGAGATGCCATGAAAGTCCACGGGGTACTCCTCGACATGGCAGAACCAGAGTTGACAGGCCGCCTGAAGATCAGAAGACGATTCTTCTCCAAGTCTTCCAAGTCGCCATGTCCAGTCACTGAGTGCTCGTTCTGTTGGCGCTGGCCGAACAGGCACTGGTTTATCAATCGGGAACTTCATGGGCAGGAGGGCTTGAGGCACCTTGGCCTCCACTGAGAGACCTTTGAGCAGCAGACCCACAGGGAGGCGAGAGCGCGCCGGCGC